AATATATATATATATATAATAATTGTTTGGATTTTTATTTATTTGGCTGGCCAGAAGAAATATTAAATAATTTGTTGATAAGAAAATCATAACCATGGTTAATTTGGTGTGGTTATGTGTGGCCGCCATTTTATTGTATTGTAATGAAATTTCAGGCAAGCTTCATATATTCGAGCAGCCTGCAAAAGGCGATGGCACGCTCAAGTTTTTGGTTATTGGAGATTGGGGAAGAAAAGGAGAGTTTAATCAATCACAAGTTGCTTTTCAGGTATATATATATGTATATATTTATAAATTTATTTAATTTTTTTCTTAAGAAATTAAATAATTTTAATGTATGTATTTCATGGACAAAATTGTAATTTTAGTCATGTTTTTTGTGTGATCCAGTGGCGTTTTTAGTCTTAAGATCTGAAACATTTTGTTATTTGGTCCTGTGATTTAAAAAATTCAGCGCAATTTCAAGGACTAAAATTGCAGCAAAATTTTAAATTGTAGAACTTAAAAAATTGCTAATAAAAATCTTTGGGTTGAGTTTTTTTGTTAACAAGTTAAGTCCTGTAATTTTAAATTTTGTTGCAGTTTCAGTCACAGCGAAATACTAAATTACATGATAAAAAAGAAAGAAATTGAAATTTTGGGACTAAAAATGCTATGACGTCAAACCTACAGGACTAAAAATGCAATTTAGTGTTTTGAAAGTTAAAATTTACATTGTTTTTAAATTACATATACAATTCTAATATAAATATATGCATATTTGATGAAAAAAAAAACAAAAAATACAATGAGACTTGATCATAAACCATATATTATATAGTTGTATATAGTTGATCAAACTAATTTATTTTTTTTTTTTATTTTTTTTAATGGTTATTTAATTGGTAGATGGGAAGAATTGGAGAAGAATTAGACATAGACTTTATAGTATCAACAGGTGACAATTTCTATGATGATGGTTTGAATGGAGAATCTGATCCAGCATTTGTGGAATCATTTACCAATATTTACACAGCCAAGAGCCTCCAAAAACAATGGTTTAGTGGTAAAAATATTTATTTATTATTAAATGTCATTTTTTTTTAAGAAAAAAATGTTATTTATTTTATTTTTTTATTGCTAATATATCCTAATAAATTTTGTATTTTTGAATTTTTGCAGTTTTGGGTAACCATGATTATAGAGGTGATGTAGTGGCACAAATAAGTAGTGCCCTCAGGAAAATTGACAGTAGATGGCTTTGTTTGAGGTCCTTTGTAGTTAATACAGGTGATTTTTTTTTTTTATTTTTTTTTAGGTTTTTTTTTTTCATCACATATGTATTATTTTGATTTATTTTTTTATCTTGATTTACTTATTTTTTTTTTAATCAATAGAAATTGCTGATTTCTTCTTTGTGGACACCACTCCATTTGTGGAGGAGTATTTTACAAATCCAGAGGATCATATGTATGATTGGCGTGGCGTGGTTCCGAAAAAACGCTATATGTCCCGCACGTTAAGGGTGAGTAAAGAAAATACATAAACATAAATTCGTACGTCGAGACAGTGACGAATCGACTTGTCCGTCAGTATAAATTTCTCTTATTTTTAAGACGTAATTTTTTTCTAATAAAAGTATGCGTACTAGTAAAATGTGTATGTCGGTCTGATGGTTAGACGGTCTAACAGAAGAACAACCCACTCATAAATAATATCAACTATATGTCTAGGGATCATTTACTACCCTAAGTTATTAATATATGATTTGGGTGGATATCACTTCTATATCACTTTATTTATGTAGAAAAGTTTGAATGATTCATCTACCATTTGATAGGAATGTGATGTTTATGCACAATGACAAGTCCACAAAGCTATGCAAGAATACAAAAGAGTCCCTATAGAATTAGTTTGTGTTATGTGTTATTAATCCCTTGTTTGGTATGTAGGATTTGGAGTCGTCGCTTAAGAAATCACGGGCAAAATGGAAAATTGTCGTCGGACATCATGCCATCAGAAGTGTGGGCCACCACGGCGACACCCAAGAGCTTATAACTCACCTTCTTCCAATTCTTCGGGTAAAAAATAAAATAAAATAAAATCAACCAAATATTCATACGAGATATTTTAAAAAAGATGAAGTAAGTATTGATCAACAATCATTCGATGTGATTTATAGGCCTACAATGTCGATTTCTACATGAACGGGCACGACCATTGTCTCGAACATATCAGTGACAGTACGAGGTAGGATAAAAATCAGAATCACGATAATTTCAACCGATTATAGAGGAAATAAATAAAAGCAAATAATATTTTTTATTAATTTCTTTTGGGTTTATTTAATTTTTGCAGCCCTATCCAATTCTTGACAAGTGGGGCCGGGTCAAAGGCATGGAGGGGAGATGTTAAGAGCTTAAATGAAGAAACCCTTAAATTTTTCTATGATGGACAAGGTTTTATGTCTGTTCAGTTGACTGAAAGTGAAGGGGAAATTGTTTTCTATGATGTGTTTGGAAGAGTTTTACACAAATGGGCAAAGTCCAAGCAGCTGCATTTGGAAATGTAAAAATAGTTTAGGTTGTGAGAATGTTTGTTGTGGCCCAATTTAAGATAGGTGCAGGTGTAATTAAATAAAATTAGAAAATGTTATGTTATTGCCCAAACATATGAAGTATTTCATTTTTTGTTATTATATGATAGATAAAATAATTTCACAAAAATTATATTATGCATGGGCTGCTTGGTCGCATTAGATGGTACATACATTCCGGAACGTGTTCTGTTGAAATTGCACCCGCGTACAAAAATTGAAAAGAAGTTGTTACTATGAATGTCCTTGGTGTTTGCAATATGGCGATGAATTTTCGTACTTGTTGGCCAGTTGAAAAGGATCAACAGTTGATAGTTGCGTTTTAAGGGATGTTGTACGCTCATACAACATAATATTTCCTCTAATCATCTATTTAGGAATTCGTCCTGGTAATTTCTTATAATTAATTTTAGTTATGTCACCCGAGGGGGGTTCATACTTCAATTAATTGATTTACCAACAATGGAGGCTTTAAGAATTTTAAAATTATCTTTAATTTAAAACCACTTCTCAAACTTAGTATAATTTAAATGAAGATTTTTAAATATTTAAATTTTTGTACAATTCTAGATTAATCTTTTGCAATTCTAAATATTTGTACAATAATTAATTAACATGCATAGATAAATATACAATTCTAAATTAATCTCATGCAAAAACAATAATTAATTAACATGCATAAATAAATAATTAATGCACATAATAAATTTAAATAAATAAATCCACTACTATGACCAATATTGAGTCCCCTTAAACAATTAAACCTTGTATATTATTTCCTTGTCCAACTTGAACTCCCACTGCAGTAGAATCCTGGTTGGTATCGTACTGCTTGTTCAACAAGAAAACCACCTCCTCCAACTGCCGCCGTCGCCGGTCCGGTGGAACTTCGCTGGATTTTATTGTTCTCTCCTCGCGCGTGTGATGCGCGTCTGCCAGTCAAGATCTCCGTGCCACCACTGCCACGCCTCGCCATCGCCTGGCCTGCCGGCGCGAGTCTTGGCAGCGGTTGTCGAGTCGGGCTGCCTGCGGTGGTCGCCGGCTGCTTCTTAGCCCGGTAGCCGGTTCTTCGAGGCTCGTTGATCATTGTGATCTCCCGGTCATCAACACATAATCATAATACGAAAAATATAATTTACAAAATTACGTAGTCTGATCCTTGGTCCAACGAATGAATGTACATGTTTTTTTCTAAACAAATAATTAAATCTATCTGGTCAACCCCCAGACGAATAATTATTACAAACATTCATCCATTAATTCATCGACATGTCCGAGGCTTTGAAACAAATTTAAAACCATACATCACATTCAACAATATTCATCAAACCATAATCGACCATAATAGTGGATTAAACTAATTCTTGCAAAATCGACTCATGCGAATATAATCCAATATATATGGCTGCGTTTGAACACATCTTGTCAAATAAAGTCGTAAAAATTTGAACTTTGTACAAAACGAATTAACTAAGTGCTGTGATACCACTTGTTGGGATCTATGAGTATCTCGTTATGTACAAGTCACAAATTCAATAGCAAACGTAAACCTATGCGCAGCGGATCTAAAGGTTTGACGTAGGAAACTTACGGCTTAAAATTTATCTAAACCTGATGGATTCGAGTTGACCGGGAACAACACACGAACTGATGGCGGGGATCGGCTGGGTCGGGTCGCATGCGGTGGTTAGAGCGCTGAAGGACCGCGGTGTCGCGATCGGCGGGCTGGGCGTCGCGTCTGGCTGTCGGTACAGCGGTCGACTGTCGTCGCAGGGTCAACGACGGTTCGGCTCCTCACGGCAATCAGCTCCGGTTGATCTCCAATGTCTCAGTTACCTTCGGGATCTTCTACTGTCTTACTCTTACACCTCTTTAACTTGTATCGATGGAGCAACAAGAAGAAGATAAAGCTCGAACATAAACTTGAGAGAGAGAGAGAGAGAGGCGTGTGTGATATGGAGCACACGTAGGAGAATTCTGATCTGTTCTTCTCTTTTTCATGAGCCTAATGATGTGTATATAGAGCTACAGTAGGGAACTTTAAGATATTAGGAATAGGGCTTCTTAAGTAATGGACTAACTGTGTGTCTGGCCCACTCTTCCAATTACTTAAATAATAATATGGGCCACTAACATAATATTATTGCACTCCCTTTTCCTAGCCCAAATTACAATTAACACTCCAATAATAACTACCTGAATTACCTCCCCATATTTAAGATATAATGCCCACTAATTAATTCAATTACTGATAATCAAGAATTAATAATATATTATTATTTCACCGAAGATAGCGCTTGTTCATCACATTATTACTATGCCGGAATTAATCCACCTGCAGAGTTTAGCATAATAATACTTCATGAACTCACTTCCGGAATATCATCAAACTAAACGTACATGACAATAAATATCCTAACAACACATCATACATACAGTGATATTACCCAAGACAGTAGGAATATTAATACAGCGAACTGAACCTCACCCAAGTGAATCAAAATAATATATACTGCATATATATGTATGTTTAATATCTTACGGGCTAAGAGAACACAGTAATTAACCGAGGCCTAGTTCGTTTACGATGATCAGTATAAAATGAACTTCTCCTCTCTGGATCCTGTTCAATACATAAATGTATTAGTGTAACTAATCAGTCAAGACAAAATGTACAGTTGACACTACAACCGTTCGGATGGGGTGTTCATTTTCATCTAGGTTGTGAACCACAATTCTTGTTTTACAAGTAACTGATAGAATGATCTTCAGTTCGCCAT